TGTCTGCTAGCTACAGTAGCTGTTAGCTACAGTAGCTGCTACAGTAGCTGTTAGCTACAGTAGCTGTTAGCTACAGCATCAGAATGTAAACAGGAAGCTCGCACAATGCGGGAGTCACTGAAGTTAGTATTAGCGCCACCAGCTGGACCGAGCGTTGTACTACAGCACAGTTACTCAGGCACAGTTGAAAGAACAAGCATGAAAACCCGAGGAGGCTTTTGGAAAAGACTGTTACAACATTTCTATTTTGAGTAATCAGTTTTAAAAATGTGATATTTCATGTAAATAATGCATGTGTTTAATAGGATTGATATATTTGCGATGGGCCTTGTTTGTGTGATTTAAGTTATTTTGAAGGTGCATAGTGTCATTGTAAGTGAAGTTATTATAAAACTGTTAAGCTACATTTTCACTGTTTACAATGGCAGAGCCATCTCGTTTACAAGCATGTTTTAAGGCTTAATTCCTGTTACACTTATGCTCCATGGGGATTTAGATTAAACTGCATAAAGGAAAATCTATTTCTTTGTCAGTTGTAGTTTGTTTTTAAATAGAAAAAAATAAATCGATTTAAAATCGAAAATCGGATTTGGTGTGAAAAAATCGGAGATTTTTTTTTTTTGCCATATCGCCCAGCCCTAATTTGTATTATCTTTATTGTGATTTGAAAAGTTTGATTGTATTGAGTTTGGGTGATGGAGGTGCTCGTGCGCTTTTTGCCCCCACCCCTTTTGACCAGAATGTATTAGTGTTCAATAAATAAATAAAAAAACAATAATAAATGTTTGTTCTTCTCTGTTTTGTCCATATTTAAATGCTGTGAGACTAATACATGAAGAGATTTTCACTTGTCTTTCCACTGAAACTGAGCGGTGAACACTCTCTCTTCTCAGCCACACCATCAGGGGTGAGTTTCCTCCGTGTGCTCCAGTTTCCCCTATCACTTAAAGAGAGTATGATAGATAAAATCCTCCAGCTGTGGACCTGAACCAAACATCAACCTCCTGCAGATGGTCCTTGAGGTGCACATGGATCCACATCTATGAAAAACATGTATCTTAACCTAAACCTTAGTTTTAATTATTGATTAAAAAGTTGAACTGTTTCTTGACTCGGCTGCTTGTTGAGCCTCTGCTAACAGCATAAAACATGGCATTTCAAAGGGGTAAGAACATATGAAATGCTGTAAATATGTATAAGTACGGTACAGATACACACTTTCTAGATCTACACTAGAGTTCTACAAATCACACCATCGAGACAGCACTGGAAAACAAGCACATTTCAACTAGTTGGAGAAGCAATTTTATTATCATTATGAACTTACCGAGGGCAACTGTGTATAAGCAGGATGCAGGTAAGACCCACACATAGCTTTTTATTCACACAATAGATCCCCATGTATCAATGTTAGGAGAGAAATCTTGTATTTTCTCTTAAAAACCCGCCTTTGACCTCCGCACCTTTGGCCTGTTGGGTGCAGTCCAAGCGCCTCCAGCGGCAAACGAACCAAGTGGGCGTCACCCCTCCCAGAACAACAAGGCCCAGTCAAAAGCCAACCACACATAGTTTTACACGCCATAAAATATTCATCTGCTAAGTGGTGCGGCGTTTTCCCCTTTCAGCGCTTCATGCATTGTTTAGGCCCAGGCTCGGTCGGTGGAGAGGGGAGGCTGATTTATGTCATTGCCGGACCATCCAAACAGGAGCCTTTTAAAGTTAGCATGCGTAACATTCAGAGACATACCCGCGTTTCTCTATTGTTTTTGTTAGCCGCGTGTTGCTAGCTGTCCATTAGAAGTACGTACGTGATGCTTGTACTGTCTTATTTTGGGTTTTAAAATAGCCAGCGTTAATCCACACCCGACTGACTTATAGCACAACATATTTCCCCCCCGCCCTTTCTGTCTCAAAGCAATGTTTTCAAACTAGATACACTGTGCCAAACCCAGATACTATGATGTCATGGACTTAGCTAGTTTCTGTTACTGTTACTACATCTGTTAAAGCTCTAACTATAGTAGCGTCAGTGTTTAGCCCCGTTTCCACCAGCCGTACTCGGCCCTGCTCTACTCTACTGTGTTTCCATTTAGTTTCAGTATCTGGTACTGTATCCTAGCAACCAACTCGAAACAAACAACAAATGGTTATGAAATTCCTTGGTAACCATGGCTTCCAGGTGCACACAGTGAATGTACAGTTCTATCCAGACCAGCTCGGCCTGGATAGAACCACAGGCAGGTACTGAAAAGGTTCCTGGAACATGGCCATTGGAAATTCTCCCAATCGGGGTAGAATAGAGTAGAGTAGAGTAGAGTAGTAAGTAATCTTTATATACCGCCTTTTCACTGCACATCTGAGTCTCAAAGCGGTTTACAATTGTTAATTTTTTTTGGGCATTTGTCTCTCACTCCACACAGAGTTGCCAGTACAGGAGGCGCATGCCAGAACTATTGGACATATTTTTAGTGGTAGGGGAAACCGGAGTACCCGGAGGAAACCTACGCAGACACGGGGAGAACATGCAAACTCCACTCAGAAAGGGATTTGTACCCAGGACCTTCTTGCTGAGAGGCGAGAGTGCTATCCACTCAGCCACCGTGCCGGTAGTACAGTACATAGAGTAGAGTAGCATAAAGTAGAGTACAGTACAGTACAGTAGAATAGAGTAGAGTAGCATACAGTAGAGTATAGTACAGTAGAGTACAGTACAGTAGAGTAGAATAGAGTAGCATACAGGAGAGTATAGTACAGTAGAGTACAGTACAGTAGAGTAGAATAGAGTAGAGTAGCATACAGAGTAGAGTAGAGTAGAGCAGAGAACAGTAGAGTAAAGTAGGTGGAAACTGGGCTTTTCCCGACATAATGTAGAACATATTGTAGCTATAATAATACATAACATAATAATACATATTAATAACATAATAATACATATTAATAACATAATAACACATCAGTTTCATACAGCTCTTATTTCTCATTATCCTCTCTCTCCAAACACGGTGGTGACAAACTACTCCAGTAGCCACAGCTGCCCTGGGGCACACTGACACTGCAAACTGTGCCAGAACCTTAAAACCAGCCGTTATTCTTCCCGAACAAACTGCACGACTCGTCCACGCCTCGCCGCAGCTTCCGTTTTCTAAAAGTTTTCCTCGCTGCTGGAGTCATAATTGTTGTAACGGATTCGCAGCAGCTTCAAAGAGAACGACACCAATAACAAGTCTGCAGCTCCCTCTGTTTTCCTATGGATTTCTCTTATGTTTGTTTAAGTCTCCGAACCAACAGTAATTAGCCTTCAGCACCACCGCTATGCTAACGGGAGACATCTCAGGTTTTCACTTAGTATTATTCATCACCGGTGTTTGACGTGATATTGGTAATAACTCTTTCTAATGATAGAAAACATGAAATTGCTAAACTTTCTCAAAGATGAATACTAAGACTGGGTGGGGATAGGTGGTAGGTGAAACTGGCATTTTCAAAGCACCCAAGCCAGAGGAGCAAGACACAACAGGCTTTGTCAAACAGGCAAGAAACAGTTGGATTCAAACTTCAGTTAAAGCTCGGGTACCTAACTTTAAAGTCCCTAATATCAAAGCAGTTCGGTTCCAGCACTGTTTTTCTCATGTGTCTATCTTTAAAGCAGATTTTTTCAGACAGAAATGTGAAAGAAGTTGTAACCTAACAGCTCTCAGCCAATCAGAACTCACCCCCAAAGCGTCAAAAAGTGACTTACACGGCTCTTTGTTATACGTACAAAACCATGCAATCTTTCACAATGTATTTTCAAAGTGCTTGTGAAGGGAAAAAGTGAAGTTTTAGCTAGCTTTAAAATGTGAAAATATTAAAGTTTTTGTGTCTACACTATGAGCTTAGTCGTATTACACAGAATAGACTTAACTCAACAATAAAACGCCAGACTTTTCTTAGTTGCTGATCAAATGTGTATTCCCACTGTCTGCATAGGCGGCCAGACTAAACACCTCAAACTACTCACGTCTCAAAATCTCACAGCAATCTTAAAATTTCACCACAAACGTCATTGACTCGCAGTTCAACAGTAAAAACACCAAACTAAACATATTACCCTGACACTGTGGCCGACCCCCCACTCGCTTCACTTCTCTCAACTTCAATATCAAGAGGTGAAATTGACCGCATCAAATTCTTATCTATATTAAAAGCTTTTTCCGCACTCTGCTCCGGCCCGGACAAGTCAGCAAAACCCGGCCAAAAAAAATAAATATCTTGCAGCGAGAAATAACAGGAAAAAATCTATATCGCTTCGTGTGCAGAGCCAATTCATACGGGCCTCCTAATTCAACAAGCACACTACTCAGAGTAAGTAGTTCTGTCATCCGGGTGACATTAAGTAAAAGGCCAGCCCTGTTTCTTAGCCTCCCAATTCGCTTTTGGCTCATTTGCGCTAATATTATTGCTGCTGTAAATACAGGGGGAAATGGGGGAAAGGCTGCAAACAGAGAGAACAGTCTCGCACTGGCTACATTTTTAATGCGAGATGTTGAACAATTCGCCCAACTCCTGTCCAGTCGTTACAGCACGGTCGGACCCCCAGGCCTTCTCCGATTCTGCTCTCTCCTCCACCTCACAGACCACTGCTTCTGCCTTTCCCCCCAGCCGGCAATAGCTAACATCGAAGGAGGCCGGGCGCTACGTTCCCGGCAAACAACAAGCCAATCTTTAACCTCTTTACAGTGCGCATGATATACTTTGCAAGCGACGGCCAGGGCTTGATAAATTATGAATGAGACCTATATTACTCCAGGCATTAGCAATGTATGAGATGGGCTTTGGGAACACGGCGTCCAGGCTTTTTTGTTCTGTTTCTTTCTTTAAGCCACTCCTTTATTTTGCAGTTTCTGTGTTGCCACGTGCGGACGGTCTCACGCTGCCTTTTTGACAGAGATGCTGCTGCTGCGTTTGGCTATAGGCGCTAAGCTGAGCCACGCCTCGTCTACAGCTCCCCATCGGGCAGAATGGAAATTATGTTGGGGAGATTTCAAGATCAGAAGGAAAAGTGGAAATGCCTGAGTAAGAAAATTGTAAACAGGTTTGTTATCGGCGCCTGTATCCTTAACCTAACAAGTCTAATCCACCATCCATCTCAATCTACTGCTGTACACTCCTAAACATGAACATTTTCTGGCTTTCTCTTTGATGGAGGAGAAAACATGGATGCTATCGTAACGGCGCAGATGAATAGAGATTAGTTGCAAATGTTATTGATTCGTGAGGACTTTGAACACACTGGAATTTCAATCTAAATGCATTGCAAGTAGCTCAAGATGTCAACGTTAAAATATATGGAGGTTTTTTTGAGCTAGCAACACGTGGCTAGCTCACATGTTGCTAGCCACGTGTTGCAAATAGATTTCTGCAGCTAAAATCCAGAACAGTCTTCTTGAGCATGTGAGACTGGCTTCTTCTCCGACAATGTTGAAGTTCAGGAAGCTGTGCAAACGACTGAGGGATTGTGTTTCCATCTTTTTGAATGTACTGTCTTGGTTATGGACTGTGCTATACAAATAACTTTGCCTTGCCTCGGTAGATTGTTATGGGTCTGATGATACAGGGAAGATCGACTCTTGTGACGCGCCACAATCATATATTTAGGAACATTTTAAAGCAAAATATGACAAATGTGAATCATGCCACAGCTATAACTTGAATATTAATGTAAATATATGGCTTTTTTCAACATCTGTTTTGATGGATCTTTTTACTGTCGGTTATGCAACATGTTCCAGAGAAAGTTATGTCATTTTCTCTATCTTTGAGGACTCGAAGTCGTCCGTCTACAAACCACGACACATATTCAATACCATTCTTGTACATGTTTGCACATTCTCGAACCTCTAATGCAAGCTACCGACAAAATCCAGCGCATAAAAAAACCTTTGTGTGAATCAAAGCAAGTATCTTATTGTCTTTTGCATCAATAACTTCATTTACTTCTGGCTGCCTCAAAGATTCCAACTCCGCTCTATGGTCCTATCCATTTTAATTTCTTTAATATGGATCGCTCTGTCCGCAGTGAAGCCATCTCCAATTACATTTCTTTTTTTTTTTGTATAGTTCGAGAAAGAATTGTCGAATAAGCATGTCATATCCAAACTGTCAAGCTAGCATACGGCGCGGTAGCTTCTTCAGTCTCATCAGCGCTAACAAACAAATCAATGGGGCCTCGGCTAACGTTTTGTTCCCGCCGCCGCTGCAGCGAGAGTGATGACCGTGGCGTCTTTCTGCTTACTTTTACTGAAAGAATTGGAATCAAAGTTAAGTTAAAGCTGCGGTACAATACTCTGAAAGCACAATGTTTTAAACAAGGTGAACCAATAAAATTAGTTATGACTAGTTTTCAGGTATTGTACAGTCTGGAACACGTGTTTAGATCGGCTGAGAAGTGAACGTTGAGATTCCTTCACTCGGCCAATCATCTCTCAGACCAAAGTGTCTCATTTGTTCAAAACATTTTAATATTACAATACTCGTTCTGTTGGGACTATTACAATGAATTTCCAATGTATTTGTGAAGGGAAAAAGTGCCCAGCTTTAAAAATGTTTTAACAATATTTTTTTAAATAATATGTATAGTAATTTCAAAATACTTCACAGTACTGTTCAGTCAACGTCTGATGGCTTCAGGCCACGTATACACATGAAAAACAAAACAAAAGTTTACGATAAAAGGTCATTATGATACTTCTAGTTCTTAATTTCACCCTCAGGCAAAAGACTTCTGGGTTAAAAACATTTACTCTGTCAAATACAGTAAAGTAGAAGTATAATCGTAATACCCTGCCGAGCTAGCATATAGCGTGATAGCATCTTAATAAACAAACAACGAAGACCGAGCTAAACACACACACACACACACAAAGTTAAGTACACATTTTTAACTCATGTTTTGGACTAAATTTGACTTTATCCAAAATTATTAAATGTCTAGAAAACGAGGATATCATCACCCTATAAAACTGCACCAAATGCTTAGAACACACAGGAAACGTTATGTATTTGTCTACATCATCATAATACACGTAGCATTTAGCGCGATAGCTTCTTTAGTCTCATCAGCGCTAACAAACAAATCAATGCAGCCCAAGCTAACGTTTTTTTTTCCCGCCGCCGCTGCTAGTGCTACAGTATAGTGATGACTGGGGCATCTTTCCTGCTTACTTTTAGTTTTTTTTTTTGGCGCTAAGGTGTGGAAAAGATGGGGCAAGTGCTCTCCGCGGATTGGAGTGTTCCCCCAGGGCTGCAGTCTTCATCTCCTCCCCGGCCTCGGCGCTCCGACTGCGGGACAACCAGATTACAGCGGTCCCCGGGGAGAGCCTGCTGCCTGGATATGAGAAACAGCACTTTACAGCACAATATGGCTCTCTCTCTCCAGGACGGGCCGCGGAAATCTCAGGGAGGTACATTATCGGCGAATGTCTGCGAGGCACGGCTCCATAGCTGCTCGGTACCTGCATCTTTAGACGCGGTAAATAAGGCTTTTATTGCGGGCTGGCCGGGGCACCGCGAGAGAGGCAGCAGGCTTTACTACTGCCACTAAACACGGGATTGTGACATGGTGGAATGGCAAGGATAAAATGTAAAATGTGTTGGAATTACATTTTTCCTGCTGCTGTGAGGGTGTAAAACTATTTATTTGCATTCGAGACATGTTATGATAATCTTCCCTTGTCAAAAACCAGGACATGTTTGTAGCTGCAAAGTACTGGGAACTTCTTGCTAAGATAAAATGCATAGAAAATACACACACACACGTATACACACACACACATGTACACACACGTATACACACACACACGTATACACACACATGTACACACACGTATACACACACATATACACACACACACGTATACACACACACACATGTACACACACGTATACACACACACACGTATACACACACATGTACACACACGTATACACACACATATACACACACACACGTATACACACACATGTACACACACGTATACACACACATGTACACACACGTATACACACACACACGTATACACACACATGTACACACACGTATACACACACACACGTACACACACACACACACGTACACACACACACACACACATACACACACACACACACCTACATTCAGAGCCACATATTTTATAAAGTTGAGGTTAGGCCCAATTTTTTTTCTGTTGGCCTGGTGCAAAGAAGATGAAGCTAAAAAATATACAATCTAAAATATCTTAAGTTATGAGAAAACATGGGGAACATAAACTCCTTTCAATATTTTGCGTTGTTTAATAAATATATACATAAAGAAGTCACGCCTCTATATTTACTTTTGCAACACTTTGGAAATGTGTTTAATAAAATGTGCTCTGTATATGAAGTGGATTGGGTGCTTCATTTTTTTAGCTAGTAGCAACATGTAGTGGTTAGCAGTAGTACTAATGTTAAACTATGCATACGTCTGATCGCTAACACTGTTTATAACTAAGAAGAACTAGCAACGATGAGATTGTATGATCGCTAACATTACCTGTAAAGATTGAATATTAATCGATGTATTTGACAACTTGAGACGTGCTACAGATGTCAAATGTAACTGTCTGCACATATATCTAGAGCCGGATCCACCCCCCCCCCCCTTCACCGACATCAAACCTCCATAAATTACGGCTGCAGACATCGATGCTCCACATCTTGAGGGCCTTCACTTCACACACAAAAAAGTTCCATTTCTTCAAGATTAGGTTGTCGAACCCCGCACGCTAAGGGTCGCCCCCCGGAGAAAGATCTAATTTTTAAATGAACACGGATCCACGAGCGAGGCTATTAACCTCCCGGGCGCCCGCGACAAGAGACACGGCAGACGCTGGTAGCTCTCGCAAACGATATTAGCTACAAGGCGAAACTCAAGCCGGGGGTCGCGTGTCCTGCCCGTGTATTAACATAGATTGGGATTGGGAGGCAGCCACAACAAAAGGCCGGCGCAGACGGTTATGACAGGAAAGAACTCCCATCAGCCACTGGGGCGAGTTGTAAGGGGAGCGGTAAATCAATGAGGCGCCGTTTATGACACCGTGGAGCGGGAGAGTGCAGGGGAATTAGCAGCACAAATACCAGATCATGTTCAGGAGAGATGCGAGAGACGCTGCGAAGAAAGATGCCAGAGGATCCGTGGGCAAAATGAACGCCAAAAACACAACGACAACAGGAGAAATATTTATAGTTTCATTATTTATAACTCCAAATAACCCGTGTAGACAGACGGACGGAAAAGGTGAGGTATGCAACAACGAAAGCAGAGATATAGGTTTAAAAGTAGTGAAAACACCTCTGCTCCAAGATAACTCTGTCTATACTTTGGCCACAATATAAACAACATTGTGTGAGTAAGTAATCTTTAGTAATCTTTATTTACTGTATATACCGCCTTTTCACTGCAGATCTGAGTCTCAAAGCGGTTTACAATTGTTAATTTTTGTTTTTTTTGGGCATTTGTCTCTCACTCCACACAGAGATGGGAGCGGGGTCGCCAGTACAGGAGGCACATGCGAGAACTATTGGACATATTTTTAGTGGTAGGGGAAACCGGAGTACCCGGAGGAAACCTACGCAGACACGGGGAGAACATGCAAACTCGACTCAGAAAGGCCCTGGTCCGACCGGGATTCGAACCCAGGACCTTCTTGCTGAGAGGCGAGAGTGCTAACCACTCAGCCACCGTGCCGCCCTGTGAGGGGAAGCTCTGCACGAGTGAGTTTCAAAATGGGGTCCAAGCACGAGATATCTGTGTAGCTCACATTTGCAAATTGGGTCCATTTTGATTGAATTTGGTGCTGAAAAAGATTGCCACGAAATGAAAGCAGCCTTTAATTGTCCTTTATAAAACTACAGCACATGTGTTGATTATATAAGAATATGGCACCTTGCTCTGGGTATAGTATTTGTTTGATGAGGGAAAGAAATCATTATCTGAGACGGAACTAACCATTACTATTGCCTATTCTTATAAACTGTAAGTAGACGGACAATGCTAACCTGCTAGCTCATTGAAGTCCAAGAGGGAAGTAAGTCTCGGTGATTCTGGTGTTTATATCGTGAAAATCCAGATGTGAGCCCTGACAACTCAACTGAGGCTTCTGTCCAGTGTTGCCAACTCCTCAGTAAGGAAAGTAGCTATTGGCTGTCCCAAAAGTCGCTAGAAGTTGCTAAATGACGTCATCGCCTAATTTGCATAATTGGCAATTTGCAAATAACTGTAACGGACGCTGTAGGAGAGAGGAATAACGTCGTGGGAGAGACAAAAGTGAGTAAAAAACACCCTAAATATGTTTAGAACTACAAATGTACAAAAATAATTTCAACATTAACAACATTTAATGATTTTAATGCTTTGTCTAGATCTGTCGCTAGTCGCTTTTTTGAAAAAAAGTCGCTATAGGGTCTGAAAAGTCGCTAAATCTAGCGACAAAGTTGCTAAATTGGCAACACTGCTTCTGTCACCTGAATGTGGCTTAAGCTAGCAAATAATCCGTGCAGAAAGCGGGAAAATACCAGCAGCTCTCCTGATTGGTTCCCGGTAACTAGGTCGTTTCTACCAACATTTTTATAGATTTATCTCATGTATACTGTTTTAGCTAGCTCCTGCCGACCTCATTCCACATTACGGCTAACACTAGTCCATACAAAAATACAAACATGCAGTTTTTCTCCGAGATACTACACACAGTATCCGGTTGTAGCTACACGATCAAACCTCACCGTTCAACCTTTTCCATTGAAGTCAGTGTAAGTCAACTGTCTACTCCTTTGAGCGCACAGGAGATGAGAGAGAATGGAGAACCAGTCTAAGAATATAATGCATTAAAGTTAATTGTTTATCTAATGTACGCACAGCCAGTCGAGTTATATGCATGTTTTATGGGCTTGGGTAAAACAGTGGGAGGAAAGGCAATAAAGCGCGTTTTGTTACGGATATGTTTAGACATGAAAATCTATTGCGGAGAGAATCCAGAGACAAGACGATGGATGTGCAAAATGCATCTTACAGAATAAATATGGGCGGGAGTTGGAACGGCGAGGTTTTAGATAACCTCGCCGGGTTGGAATGTCTATTAGCAGAATAACCGTGTGGTGTAGGTGGGTAAATACGGCGGGATAATGGGTCTTGTCACTCATAAATGATAAGATTCAACATTTGTGCCTTTTTTCACAGTGGACAAAATTAGCGAAAAATGGGTGACGTGGAAACTGACGGCGAGACCCTGCACTAGTGGTGACGCAGCTGGGGCAAATGCAGAGGACAGATTTCCCAATGGGGGCATGGAAGTCACTGATAAAAGCCAAGTCTAAACGGATACTGAAGGCAATTTTACAGCAAGAAAAAATATCCATAACTAACCCAGCCGATAGATGGGTTTAAAACAGCATAGAAGACCTCTGCAGCTTTCATCTCCCAGATTCAACACTAAACGTTTTGTGGGGGAACAATTTAAGCTAAATCCCATTCAATGTATTTGTGTGTGTCCCTAAATCACGCCAGAAATCGTCAAAGTGGTCGATTTGCCAACAACAGATCAGAAAATCAAACGGTTCGAAAACGGGAAACGGAGTCGTAAGAAAAATATCAGAATGACCACTGTCCATGGTTTCAATCCCTCAGTCTTTAAAGTATACATTGAATTTGTTGTTATTTTTCAGCCAAATCATGTGTAAGTGCGATATATTTAACCTGTTATTGCACAGTTAGAACGTGCTGCGTCTTGGATGGCTGCTCCCCTTTCCCCGTATTAATAATAAACTCAGAGTCAATCTCGCCTTTTGTCTTACTCGCCCCATTATCTCCCTTGTTCGCTTTTAACACGCGCCAGATAAGCGTCACATCTTAATCTCCAAAATTAGAAAAAGTCTTTTGCGATAGCAGATGAAATGCTCGCAGATCCAGTGTGACATTGAATTAAACATACAAGGCAGCTGTGAAATTAGAAATCACGCCACCGCGGCCCTGGACCTACTTCTACACCGGTCGACCGCGTTCACCGCCAAATCCAACGCTAGCTTATTTGCCCAAAAATTAGCATTACCTTTGCATATGAATTAAAACAGAGGGGTCATTACAGAGTCTCCTTTTTGATCTCTGAATCCTCTGAATGATAAATAATATATATAAGCTTTTGCAAGATATGCTCTTTCAAGTTAGACCCCCGGATCCACTGCTTAATAATATGCGCGACATTACCGAGCACTTCCCCCCCTGCGCTAGCCGTGTATGCTAATAATTTTAATGGGATGTTCTGTTTCCATTTAATCACCGTCTAAGTTAGGGGGATTGGACGGTGTCAAGGCGGCATGTCCAGACCTCCGCTTCGACCGCGGCGGGTTTTCAATCTTACAAAAGATTACAACGCCGCCGCCGCCGTTCGGAGTTAGCGCGAGCAAATCCCCGGTGAAGAACAAGGTAAGAACAGAGCCCGGGTTTCAGGTGGAATTTGATCATTAGGCTTCAGAGTTTTGAATAATTTTTAAGGACAATTTGGCGCTGGATTTTCTCGGTTGTTAGAAGCCGCCGCTCCGAGACTAAAGGCGCGGACAGAAAAAGGTATTATGAAAGAATGTTAAAGTAGGCAAATATCACAGGCTTTTATCTGCCGTACGGTGGAATACTTTAACACCCACGCCTCGTTATGCTACACTTTGTTAATTATCCAAATATCAACCCAAAACAATCATCAACAAGATTTTAAAATGTTTTGCCTCGTATTTTTAGTAGAAATGAAGGTATTTACTTCTACTGTACCGTCAAAACATGTCACGTTAACAGCATCTTTAACTTATCTCTGCTATAGAGTTAGCAGTTAGCTTCATGCTTTAACGTTAAGTAGTTTAGTTTATACTTTGTGGTCCCTGTAGAGAAACTTCTGCATTTGACCCATCCTTCCAAAGTCCCTGAGTCAGGTCTCCATGTTTAGACCGGATGAGATGCGTGGGTGGAGAAATGGGTGGAGTCTGATGTGGGCTCCTGCTTGGTTGGAATCAAAACCAGAGACGTGCAAACTCCACTCAAATGTCGTTTTGACGAGGGATTCGAACCCAGGACATTCTTTCTGAGAAGCTAGAGTGCGAAGTGCAAACTAAATGCCCGTGGAGCAGCTTTCTAGAGGTTTATGCAATTGGTTTATTTCTTGTTCATAGATTTGTACAGATTTAAAACATAAAAATATATACTTTTTAACAACTGGAAGCTCAAAACCTGTAAGTTTATTTAATTTGAAGGATTTGGAGCGATAATGCATTTTCCTTTGACATATTTCTTTACTTTAGTAACGTGTGAAATCATTGATAAGCGACGGCAAACATTAAATAATTGAACAGTTTTTAGGTTGTGTATCAAGAAGGCAAGTTCTCACGTTGATTTCCAAACCTGTAAGCTAACCAGAGCTAGCCACATTAGCTAAAAACTCAGTTAGCATCTCTCCACAACTGCAAAAACACGTCTCTTCGTAACTACATGTCGAGAAAACCCAATTCAGTTTCTTTAATCTCAAATCTTGGCTGAATGTTAAAAGTTTTCCCACAAAGTCTCAGCTTGAAGCGTTTGAGTCGTGACCAGGCGGGTGTTCGGCGGGCTCCTTTCAGCTGCTCAGAGGAGGGCCGCGGTAATGGGGCTCTCCCGCCTTTTTAGCGCCGCGGTTAATGCTATTTGAGGGGTGAAAAACATCGGAGAAGAGAGGCGCAGGCGTGAGTGCATTTGGGAGGTCGGTAATGAGTTACTTCATGTTACAGCGACTGGAAGCACAAAGTTCACGCGGAGACTCCCGTTAGAGCGATTGGGCGGGAGATTTACCACGATTCCTGAACCGGGTAATTATATTAAAGACGCTTCTGTCGGCTGCGTGGTACTACTCTGGCTCAAAAACATTTAATACATACATATGTTAACTAAAAGAACAACTACTAAGCTTTCTAAGGATTTCATGTATTTCAAGCTTCGGAATCATTTATTATTTCTTAAACTAGTAAATACAGTATTTTATTGTGTTATGCTAAAGCTAGAGATATTATACTTGCTTCTTTCTGATGCTACAGTTAGAGTTTTAGACTTGTTTAACTTGCTAAGAAAGTGAAATCGTATCTGTAAATCATTGGAGAAACATTGCAAGTGGTAGTTAGTCCCGCCTCCAGAGCTTCCTGATTGGACGCGATGAATTCAAATCGTTGATAGACAGTTGAGGTTGAACCATTGGTCTAACTATTCTCCTCCAGCTAATGCTACAGGTGCTTATGCCGAGGGAACGGACTGTCTAAAATATGGTTATTTAGAAAAAATACTTCAGGGTTGTTGGGTCAAAATATGGATTATTGTCTAAATTAGGTACCTTTTAAGTTGCAGATATTAGTTAAAGAAGGTTTAAAATGCTTTCCACCTGTAACTCCCTCTGCAACCACCAGAGCAAGAAGTTCAATTTGACTTCCCGAACACAGTCTCTCTAATACTGACTCAAAAAGAGAAGCCAGGTTTAGTACCAAAGAAAACCATATTATTCAGAAATCCATGGATAAAATTGTATGTTAAAATATCCATTTCTGAAATCATGTATGTTTGATTGGACTGTGCATAATACAGGCTGCGGCTCTATAATCACAGTAATGTCATTTTGCCTGGTTACAGCATAGCATTGATAGCATACGCATTCATGAGTGGTCATAAACATGTTAGGCCTGGGGCTAATTTAATGTATGCTAATCTCATAACCGCAGAATTATTCGCCACAATCGCCTGCTGTCCTTGCTCAACCTTTACCGACCGCCACATGGCACCGACACACTGCTCCTTCATTGTCCCGACTCCACTTCCAACCCAAAACTGATGCTGTCTCCGGTCGGGTCCCTGTCCGACGGTCCGGCCCAAACATTAGCATCTGTTGAAATATGGCCCCGGTGTCTGTGCGGTGACACGGAGACGTATGGGTCTCTCACCTCCCTGCACCACAGAGGGGCCGTCACTGTCACCCGATACCCCCAGGAGCGAGGGAGGCGCTGGGGCTAGACTCCCTCTGAGATGCCCCTGTGTGTGTGTGTGTGTGGAGGAGTACCACAAAAAACTATACTTCATGATTATCTTGAAATCATTTGATTTAAGGAATATATTCTTTAAGGTGATGCCTGTGTGTGTGTTTTTGTGGATCTGTGTGTCTGTGTGGATCTGTGTGTTTGTGTGGATCTCTGTGTGTGTGTGTGTGTGTGTAGATCTCTGTGTGTTTGTGTGTGGATCTCTGTGTGTGTGTGTGTGTGTGTGGATCTCTGTGTGTTTGTGTGTTCAGGAGTACCACAAAAAACTACACTTTAAATGTATTTGAATTGAGCGATATTGTCTTAAAAATGTTGTCTAGAACTTCAGTTGTAATCCACGGTGATAATAATTCATATTTACAATCAGAGCAAGCTCCCAGAGCAGTCAAATGGGTGGTTTTCCAAGTGTAATTACTCAACTTCTTTTATAACTTTCTCTGTTTCTATATGTACTTTATTAATATCTTTTATTTATCAAATGTGCGGAGTTTTACCTTTAACTTCCAGACTGTCATTTTGACTGCTCATTTCATTTTAAATTACATTTCAAAGTTAGCCATACTCGGTCGCTTCACAACCAATATTCCAAGGCAGTTAAAGGCCCCTTTCTCCGAGCTCACGGTTTTGGTCCTGGTCCTGGTCTGGTTTTCCACTACAGTAGAGAAAATGCTAGTTACCGTGACAACACACTGTTAGCTTACCGCTCTTGTTAGCCTTTCACCGAACTGCTTTTACCTGTATTTCGAGTTATAAAGCTGTTAGTAAACCTGAGAATGGGTAAAAAATTTATAAATTACTTACTTATAATAAATCTGGTGGAAACTATTTTTTTGTTTTTTTGTTTCAGAATTCCATTACTTTGACAGGGAGCCGTCAAAAAGACTGCCCCCGGGAACTCTGGTAGTTTCAGGATCCTGGGAGTCTGTGTTGGAGATTTGAGCAGATAAATCACGGGTGTTTGTACGCCGACCTTGATGGAATGAGTGGTCGTCATTTATCAATTAGCGACGCAATGGGCTGAGGTCGAGGAGGGAGCAGCGGCTGACAGACGTATCCCTCATCTCGTCTCTTGTCTCCCCCCTCCCTCCCTCACGTCTTGCTTTACAACTGCATGCTACACCTGTTTTACGACGTCCACTCGCCTCTGCTGTTTCCGCTTTAATTATATGGCTCATTTTACAGCCCGTCAAAACACACAAGCGTCTGTCGTGGAAAAGCACTTTGGGACAAATCTAAATGAAAATCTGAATGCTGTGTTATCAATAAAGGACTAAATGGGTTGGTTTTCTAACATAGAGCCTTGAACCTCATTTTTGACAGCGTTTTAAATCAAGGAACGGACGTTTTTACACAACAACCCTTTTGCGTTTGCGGCTTCTCCTGAGCGAGCACCTGATTCAAGGTTTTGTACCGAGCTGCACTTTGGACTTGTTCTTTTCCCACAATTATTACATAAAAATACACAAAGCACGTATCTATCACTGCTCTACTCACGTGCACGACTTAAAATAATCTGTATCGTTCCATTATAACATGTTTCCAAATGTGCATTGGTTTGTTATAACTGTGGGTTGGAGAGGAGGGTAAGTGACAAAGGGACGTTTGGAATTTGGCAAATCTACGGAGGCGGGAAGGGTCCGATCTGCCTCCAGAAGTAAATATACCTTTCTCTTTCTCCCCATAGGAGTCGTGGGGGGTCTTTGTCTAAATTGGTCAAAAACATGGACGTGGCTGACATACAAGGACACATTCCCCCTGACAGCACGATATAAAAATGAGCCTGAAGCCTAAAAAGGAACCAGGAAGCGTTTTCAAAGTTTCAGAAATCATAATCAGACAAAAATCTTGCAAAAATGAATGTGTTAGATTCAGAAGAAGTGAAGGTTTAACATCATAACAAATGGATTTAGATTTTAAAAGTAGGTGTTGCTGTAAACTCTTCATCACATTAAACTAAGAAACTTCTTTCATTCTCCAGAATTAACGGGAAACAATACTGCACTGATGGCACATTTAAACACGCCACTATTTGGTTTCTTTTGTTTTGACGTCTGAGAAAAAAACTAGAGTTAGATCTGTTGTCATTCATAAAAAACAATCTTGGAATCAATATCATCTTTGTCAATGTTTGATAAACTGCTTTCAAGGCCACTGTTGGTATGGATTATCTGATGTCCATGTCCCCCCTCCATGGGGCTGGCTTGCTCCTGGCTGACCCCCCCTGAGAGTGACCTCACAGCAGTACAGAGCTGGGATGGACTGGTTTGGGCTCTTGGTCGGTGTCAACTCTCTAAGCAACATGTAGCAGCCTAATACTGAGGTCCAGAGCCTCCGGGGTTCTCTCTCTCTCCAACCATCTCTCTCTCTCTCTCTTTGGGGTATGATATTGTGATATGCCTGAAGGGTTCTCTCTCTCTCTCTCTCTCTCTCTCTCTTTGGGGTATGATATTGTGATATGCCTGAAGGGTTCTCTCTCTCTCTCTCTCTCTCTCTCTTTGGGGTATGATATTTTGTTATGTCTGAAGGGTTCTCTCTCTCTCTCTCTCTCTCTCTTTGGGGTATGATATTTTGTTATGTCTGAAGGGTTCTCTCTCTCTCTCTCTCTCTCTCTCTTTGGGGTATGATATTGTGATATGTCTGAAGGGTTCTCTCTCTCTCTCTCTTTGGGGTATGATATTGTGATATGTCTGAAGGGTTCTCTCTCTCTCTCCAACCATCTCTCTCTTTGGGGTATGATATTTTGTTTTGTCTGAAGGGTTCTCTCTCTCTCTCTCTCTTTGGGGTATGATATTGTGATATGTCTGAAGGGTTCTCTCTCTCTCTCTCTTTGGGGTATGATATTTTCTGTTTTGTCTGTGTGTATCTTGTTATAATTCAGTGTCATTAAATGTCCTCTTATATAGCTATTGGTTTGGGCCTAGTCTGTACAGCTACGATTGCATTTTCATGATAACAGCCATATTCTCCTTAACTTCTGTCTCTGAGTCCGTCTTGTCTCTTTTCCATCCAATCTCCGGCCATGAGCATCTCCTTCCTTCTCCTTTCCCAAACACTGATCATAGTTTACATAAAAAAAAAAAAACGGTTGAAAGAGTTCATCACGATTGCATTTTCCTCGTAAAAAGAAGCCAACCATTCTGCTTTGACGCTCTCCCACTGTTCACCAAGTCTAATTCCAACGCTGGGGGAAGGCGTGGAGCTCGTGAAAAATTGAAAAGGGAAGCGGCTACGACCAAACTAATCTGTGCGTGGGAGCTAGTGCGCGCTTGGCTTTTGCATGACACCGACTTCAAATCCCGAGAGAATACATCTGCCACCACCGAGCGCACTTTATGTAGGATTTAGGCGTGCACACAGAGATTTAAGCATTACCTATTGTCACAAAAACCAGCAAAAAATAAACATTGTTTGGCGATACGAGACGGTGGCGGGTAGAAGCAGAGGGAGGGGTAGCCAAATTGTCCGTTAATATTTTACGGTGTTGTCGCTGTAAAATTGTTGACGGCCACACTTGACGGTTGATGGGTAATGAATGCAGGTAGCAGAGTAGGAGGTGGACATGATTTACTTTTAATGGTTGTGGGGAGAGAAAGTAGGGGCGGCGGGAGGGATGGGGGAAGAGATTTCGCCTTTGTAGATTCCTGCCAAGCGTAGATATGGGTAATCTCCATACGCCTGGTCATGGGTGGAGAGGTGGGAGCTGTCTTTCAGTCGTGATAGGATTCATACACTGGATCACAGAGACAAGGCTCGACATGAGAGGCTTCAAACGGATCCTGTATGTGGGCTGCTATTCTATACACTGTAACGTAAGCCGGAGGTTTTCAAGCTGCGGTGCATGGTTTTGTTGGTGTCGCAGGGTTGGACTCACGGACTCGACACGCAACGCCTGCTCAAACCCAAATTGTGTGTTTAAAGTGTTTTACTCGTTCATTCAGAAGCCAGACCAAGGCTTCTGAAGCTGCTGAGTCTCAGGGAAAGTCCAATTCTATCAAGTCAAAAACATATTTCTCCAAGACCTTCAAATTCAAGTTATAAAACCAACGTCTGCTAACACATTCACTATTGAGAGAATCTGACCTGATCTTGATTCATAAGTGACTAATATTGGCGGTTTTGATTCAGCCTATTGGTCTAATTCTTGTTTACTTGGTTCAATCTTGGCTTTAGACTTTGGTAAAGTTTCACATATTTGTCCTTGGTCTGTAAAAACAAGCTTTATAAATAAAAATGACTTACTACTAATATCGTAGGGGAATCTATCTATATTTATGCCACCCTTCAATGCCTCTACCCTGAGCCAATTAAGACGTGGAAATTGACAAAACTCTTGCTAGAATTGAAGGGTTTAGTTTGATTGCCGAGACCTGGGTTAAAATCTATCAACTCCAAACTCTGAAATATCCATTTTATTCTTAAATACCTACAATTCTGCCCTAGTTCTGACAAGGCTCAGTGTTGGTTTTTGACCTGACATAGCTGTGCGCCTGTCCTGCTTTGATCTTGATTTGCATTGAAAGTTTTACCCACGTTGCACCCGATCTAATCAAGCCATTCTTTCCCTATAGTTTTATTGAAGTTCTTTTTTATTGACTGCTCCCTAAACCTCGGTGAAGCCCTGTCTCGCTCGTAAAGTCCTGGATTTAGTTCCACTACAAAACCTTACTACAGAGAAAACAAACAAGCACGGAGCAGATAACACCCCAGTCGAGATATTTATCCATTTTACGGCTGAGGAAACCTTAATAATTCATTGAGATTTTTGCCGAGTCGGGCTGATTGGCCTGGGTCTTGGAGGCGCGTTCCCAGGCAGGGGCCCGCATACTTGTAATCCACCCATCTCCCCGCAGACCAAAGCTTTCGCCATTCCAGTTTCAAACACTTTATCCTACCTTTCCGCTCCCTCCCTCCCCTTGTTCCCCTTTTCTTCCTCTCCTCCGTGCTCAGAATTCTCTCGCAAAGTGACTTGTTGTGGCTGTTTTTCGCACGGTGCTAGATAAGAGACACACACACCAGGCCCTGGATGGGCTGCACCTTTTTGAAGTTCCCATAAATAATCGCAACGGCGGCACGGTCTCGACTCCCTCCCCTGGCCCCTCAGACTGTTCCTGGTTCAGATCAAAGATTAGCCTCACGTCCGGCCCCTTCGCTGGAATAAAGCGCTTTTATTGGATTGGTAAAGCCAGGGCCGGACTCACACACACACACAAAAATGGCTACTCGGTTTGGCTCTCAGCACGGGTCTCTCGTCAGACACGGCCCGCGGACTTTCACACGCCGCCTATCGAGCTGTTTGTACTCCCAAGATTCACAAGAAAGAGAAAACAAGAAAGCCCGAACAATGCTGACTTTTTAATCAGCACGCCGTTCAGGGGCAATCAGCGAGCGCGAGTCTGGGATGGCGTGTGAGAATCTCCCCCTCTCTCCAGAAGCCGGGAGAAGGAATAAGGGGAGGGGGTGAGAGAGAGGGGGGGTGAGGGGTAGTAAATGCTCCTTGAAACCTACGGGGCATCGGATCTTGCTGTTCACACATGGCCAACCTCTGATACGAATGGCTTAGGTAGCTTAGTGGCATTACAGGAGCAGGGGCTATACGTAAAACAAGGTAGCATTAGCTTAAATTAGCATACTGACACTTGCTCTAAATGCATAATAGTCACGACTTAACTCTCGCCCAGACGTGGCAATCGAGGAGTCCCGCAAGTGGCAAATCAAGGCGATTTTCTCTGACTGGCTCGGGTAGATGAGGGGCTATACATAAAACAAAGCAGCGTTAGCTTAAATTAGCATTCTGACACTTGCTCTAAATGCATAATGCTCCAACTTAACCGCGGGCCAGACGCAGGTTCTTGACGGCATAAGTGGAGATTACCAAAAGTGGTATGTTTTGGAATGTTTAAAATGAACAGTTTGAGAAGCTTTACACAAAACTAGGTGGAATTGGCTGAAATCTGGTAGAATATGGTCAGCGAGATACTGTGAGGAGCATTTTTAGGAACATAGTTTGGTAATTTACTATCAAAGCGTTGTCGGGAAGCCGTGAGAATGATGCAGAAAGGGGTTTTTGGCTCTTAAAAACCATGAGATTGGAACAATGTGTGAGAAGTGGGAAATTAGAGAGTTATTATGGTTCTACTCGAGACATAATTTAGTGAGTAGATGAACAAATATTGCGTAAATAGACTTGTTATAATGTTTCAGGGTCAAAATGAATGAACAAAATGTCTTCTTCAAACAAAAGTCATTGTTATATTTTTTACTGCTTTGCTTCTTTGCCTCCGTGATGAGTGACAAGTTCCAGTTTCTTATTTTACGTAATGGAAAAAATACAAATTATTCAACAAGTTGTACTTATTAGACACACAAGAGATTCATATTAAATCAAAGAGGCATAAAACTATAACTGATGTGGCCTTTTCTCGGACAAGGCGTTTTTGGGACCCTTTCACTAACCCGTTTTACATGACTCTTCTGGCCACCCTGGAAAAGCCATGTTCCAGCTTCTTCCCTCTGGCAGAAGATATCGTTCGCTGAGATGCAGGGCTTCTCGTTACGCTAACGTTTTTTTCCACAGGCTGTTATCAGTGTGAACAGAGCACTTTAATGATTTGCACTTGTTTTGATATTGTCTTGGTCGATCGATTTCACAGTGACATTTGTTTTACTGTTTTATTTGTTTTATTTCTGTCTTTTAATGTTGTTTTATGTCTGTATTTGGCTGTGCACACTGGAGACTTTTGCTAATGTATTCCAATGTGGTTTTACTGCAAATGGCAAATAAACTGAATCTGAATCTGTCTGCACACGTTCACCTGTACACAACATTATTATTATCACAGCACAGTTCAAGACGCAGCCTTCTGTTTTTCCCATTAACCTCCATAGTTTAACCCTTTAAACACCAACGCATCACCATTTCCTTTGAATCCAGGACATAATCTACTCAGGGTTAGCTTCACTCGCTTAAGAAACCCGGGGTCCGAGAGAGCCGCGACCTTTGTGAATGGTGGGGCCCAGATTGACGGAGCCCGGAGCCAGATGAGAGGGTGGTCATGTGTGAACGGGACTGGACCATGCCCCGGGTCTGAGGCAGCATTTTACAGCCTGTTTAACGCTAACATCCAGACCGCCCCCCTCCTCCCGCTAAACCCGCCATATTGGACCAACGCAGACGGATTAGATTAGATTCAACTTTATTGTCATTAATGAGTGAGAAAAACGCACCGAAATTCAGTTTAGCGTCTGACTGGTACAGGATAAATATATGTGCGAGAGATTCTTTAGTTTAATACTAATTGATATAGTTTAAGCCATTTAAGAATACGGGAGGTTTTTAATTTCTCCTCGAAGCATAAAACACTGAAAAAAGTAAAAAAAGTCAAACATTGCAAAAATTTGGCAAAATGTGTCTTAATTTGGGCAGATTCTGACTGAGGCTGACAAGATTTACCAACGGGACAAAGCAAAATGTTTTGAAAAGATACAAAAAATGTCTCCTTTGGAATGAGAAAACAAAGCAACAGATCTCTAAATAATAATAGTAAGTAATGTTTATTTATATAACGCATTTTACAGACCAAGGTACAGACCCAAAGGTACAGACCCAAAGGTACAGACCCAAAGCACTTTCCAATGTTCAGAGTCAAATATTGTTCCAATCCTTCCACACACGGTGATGACAGAAGCGAGTCCAGAACACACTGGTCCATCAAAGCCTCTGACCCAACACCATCCATTCACTCTCTCATTTACATTCAGACCTATTGTGCATGTTTTTAGTGGTAGGGGAAACCGGAGCACCCGGAGGAAACCTGCGCAGACACAGGGAGAACATGCAAACTCCACTCAGAAAGGCTCTGTTCCAACCGGGATTCAAACCCAGGGCCTTCTTGCTGAGAAGCGAGAGTGTTAACCACTCAGCCACCGTGCCGCCTAATAATTATCTCATACTTTTTGTAGTGCACTTATTACCATTTCCTCCCGCTGGTATGTTTCATGGTGTTAGTTACATGGTGTATGTCACATGGTGTATGTTACATGGTGTATGTTACATGGTGTATGTCACATGGTGTATGTTTCATGGTGTATGTTTCATGGTGTATGTCACATGGTGTATGTCACATGGTGTATGTCACATGGTGTATGTTACATGGTGTATGTTTCATGGTGTATGTTTCATGGTATATGTTTCATGGTGTATGTTTCATGGTTTATGTTTCATGGTATATGTTTCATGGTGTATGTTTCATGGTGTATGTTTCATGGTATATGTTTCATGGTGTATGTCACATGGTGTATGTCGCATGGTGTATGTCACATGGTGTATGTTTCATGGTGTATGTCACATGGTGTATGTTTCATGGTGTATGTCACATGGTGTATGTTTCATGGTGTATGTCACATGGTGTATGTTTCATGGTGTATGTCACATGGTGTATGTTTCATGGTGTATGTCACATGGTGTATGTTTCATGGTGTATGTCACATGGTGTATGTTTCATGGTGTATGTTTCATGGTGTATGTTTCATGGTGTATGTCACATGGTGTATGTTTCATGGTGTATGTTTCATGGTGTATGTTCCATGGTGTATGTCACATGGTGTATGTTTCATGGTGTATGTTTCATGGTGTATGTTTCATGGTGTATGTCACATGGTGTATGTTTCATGGTGTATGTCACATGGTGTATGTTTCATGGTGTATGTCACATGGTGTATGTTTCATGGAGTATGTCACATGGTGTATGTTTCATGGTATATGTTTCATGGTGTATGTTTCATGGTGTATGTTTCATGGTGTATGTCACATGGTGTATGTTTCATGGTGTATGTTCCATGGTGTATTATGTCACATGGTGTATGTTTCATGGTGTATGTTTCATGGTGTATGTTCCATGGTGTATGTCACATGGTGTATGTTTCATGGTGTATGTTTCATGGTGTATGTTTCATGGTGTATGTCACATGGTGTATGTTTCATGGTGTATGTTTCATGGTGTATGTTTCATGGTGTATGTCACATGGTGTATGTTTCATGGTGTATGTTTCATGGTGTATGTCACATGGTGTATGTCACATGGTGTATGTTTCATGGTGTATGTTTCATGGTGTATGATCCTGGTTTGACTTTCCTGAAACTTTCCTGTTTGCGCCTCGTCCAGAGCAGCTTACAACGCAACATGGAGAAACCTCTGACATTTTAGGTCACCATAATTCAGAAACAAAAGTCAGCCTGGCACTGACCAATGGCGGAGACAGAAAATCAAAGAGCTTGCAGCTTGCGGTGCAATATTTCACAATCTGCCACTTTTGGGCTTTTAACAATCTCCACAAAAGCTGTTGAGAACCTTGGCCTCGACCGTTTTCAGTGGCGTTTCAGCGGAGTGTGGGTATGCTAATGTCGGCTAATGTTAGCTTGTTTGACACAGATCCAGTGCGGTGAATACCCAAGACGCTTATATCACATTTACATTTCAAAATCAAACACTTAATAATCTCTTCAAATGCACAGATCCAGCAAAACAGTTACTATGTCTTTAGAGAGTTTTTATTATTATTATTTATTATCATAAGGTGTTGTTGTGTCCCGAGGCAAGACACTTCACCCACATTGCAAGTAACATAACAAAAAAATGTCTCATGCATCCTGTTCCCATGCACAAGTCTAATAATATACATATAATAATTAATAAACACACAATTTCCCCGCTGTGGGACCAATAAAGCAGCTCTTGAATCTTAATCTTAACCCTTTTTTATCGACCATTGAGGTGTGCTGCAGTGTATGAGACTTTAAAGTGGAGCGGGCCGGGCTGCTAGCATCACGGCGTCTCTGCGCGGACTCAGGGCTAGCTTAAAAGGCTGCTTCAGGACAGGCCTGACTGAGCCTTTTGTGCGTCCTGCAAAAGTGTGTCCCTCTGCATGCTACACTGCCCTGAGTCGCTCGGCGCTGAAGGGAGCGGGGGCCGGCGGTTGTTGGACGGAGCTGAATTGAACGGACGCTCTGCAGAAGTCCGATACGAGCGCGACAAAAGTGGCGAAGGTGAAGCCGTCGGTCTGTCGTTAGTCCAAAACCAACCCCTGAACTAGTCTCTGGTATTCATATATTTACTGGTCAGGTGAGTATGAAGGCAGCTAAATGCAATACAGATGGGAGAACCCAAACGTTTAACCGCAGTAATCGCAGAAGAACGGACTAGACTGAGTTATAATTTGATTTCCGTAACGTCCGTGATAGAAAGGAGACTGTCTTTTCTGTTCGAGACGAGACCTTTTGTTGTAAAAATCCAATTCAGCTTCAATTATTTCATCACTGCAGAATGCTCATGATTTTGTGTGTATCTCATTGTTATTTGGCCTTGACTGCAGACTTTTATGAGGCTGTGAATCTAGGACATGTTCTATACAGTGATCTGGCTTCAAACAAAACTTTTATTTCCAAAAATAACAATTGTAAACCGCTTTGTGACTCTGGTCCGTGAAAGGCGGTATATAAATAAAATCTTACTTACTTACTATTTCTATAATCTATTTCTGCTGCTGCTGCTCGAAGTCCTCCCCCTCTGAGGAAGTCCCAGTGCCTTCATGTTTGCGAATCATTTCATTTCTCGTTTTCATTTTCGTTTGATCAATTACAGCCTTTAGAAGACAAACACAGATCAGATTGGGATTATTTGCGGGTTTGCAGTAAAACAACATTGTAAAACATGTGCAGAAGTGACCACGATCCTCTCCCTACATCTGTATCTCTTTAATATATTTCTAGTATTGATTTGGAAAGTTATCCGTCCCTGATAAAGTTGTAATGCCCTTTAGTCTGTTACAATGTATGAAAAACTTCTGGTAAACAAAACATGACCTAATACACATTCTATGTTTAGCTCTGTCCATGCTAACGTCGAAAACTGCTAACGTTACTGCGGTCTAAATGCTTGCGTATCAAAATCTTACAATCTACATTCTAAGTGTTGCTGGAAAAGCTTTTAGTCATATTTCAGTCAAATTCAGGAAATTCTCTCTTTTGTCTAAATATTTACAAACCAAACCTGTTGAACAAAGACTCCCGCTTTCTTAACATGCACTTTTTGTTGTTGTTATTAATCCCCGTAGGGCATTTCATCCTCTGCATTTGACCCATCCTGATGCACTAAGGCTTACATCAGGAGCAGTGGTCGCCGTAGTAACAGCGCCCGGTAACCCATCTCCAGATGTTGATGCTCGGCTTGGTCAGGACCAGAGCTGGAGGATTTAATCAAGTGTGCATGTTTTTAGTGGTAGGAGAAACTGGAGCACCCGGAGGAAACCTACACAGACACGGAGAGAACATGCAAACTCCACTCAGAAAGACACTATTCCGACCAGGATTCGTACCCAGGATCTTCTTGCTGAGAGGCGTGAGAGCTAACCACTCAGCCACCAAAAGTATTGCCGCCAGAACCGACTCGGAATCCTCTCATTTTGACATTTACGTTTATTTTGCTCACGCCTCGAGCCGCCGATGTCAGGAAACCCCTTTTCTTCACCAGCGCATCTCTCTCTCCTCCTCCTCTGCTTGTTCTTTTCTTCCCCCTCCATCCATCCATCTCCCCCCTCCACCTCCCTCTCTCTCTCTCTCACGTCGCATCAGAAATGTGACTGGCCTCAAAGTGCTGACTTGCTCACAGACCATTGAGTTTCCCTCTCCTTATCAAATTACCGGCACCTCAATAACCCAGCACTGCACCAACGCCGGAAGGAATGAGCTTTTCTGCGCCGCGCCCGCCTCTGGCACCACGACTCCCACTGCTTTCCCCCTTTCTTTCCGTTTTCTTTCTTGCCTTTTCTCTCCTCGAGCCTTTCACATTTTTCTCCTTTAAAAAAAACCCCAGCACACAGAAAAGAAATGGACGGCAAGTTGTAAAAAAAAGAAGGGACGGCGAATGGCGGTGGGAATGATGCCGGTTTCAAAGAGCGTCGGCGCATTTAACGGCGAGAAGATGGGGTTTCTTCTGGTCCATGTCGGTTGGAGATCTTGCAGACGCAGGGAGATAGGGCACGGGTTTTTTTTGAGCAATTACCCAAGCTTCAGCTCGACCTGGCCGTAGATTAGGAGAGGCCATTATTGTCGATAGATTGCGATCGCCTTTGTCCGTTTGGCGCGGTTTGGTTTGCGCAAAACTCGAGGGGGAGCCTTTTGAGCGAATCCGGCTGTAATTTGCCGAGCGTTTATGGTCCGGTCACCAGGGTGTGAAATCAAATTGGTTTAATAGAAAGGCCACGGTATCGAACCATTTACTCAACAACGCCTAATTGATCCGTGTTGAGTTAGATCAATAGCAATACACTTCTTATAATTTAATTTATTTTGCTTCTTTGGTCAGTGGCTCCGCTCTGATGTGGTGCTTTGCCATAACGTTCGGATGCGTTTAAGCGAGGCGAGTTTATTTGTATCGCGCAGTTCATACAGAAAGTGGTTGGCAAAACGACGTAGGAGCAATCGCACGAGACTCAATACTACCTTTAAAGGGCACCTATATTGATATTATTAGTTTGGGTGATTTCTCCAGACAAATTACTATCAGTTTAAAGACGCCATTATAGATTTAAATGTCGTTACAGCAGAATACAATGCCCCACTTCTTTCACTAGAGGGCGGTGTAGGCGCTTTGTCGGCATTTCCAACTTCAACAGCCATGTTTGTTTATGTATTTTGTAATTAAAAGGCACAGTATGTAATATTTTAATGTTTAAATTACACCTGCAGTATTTATATGTGTCCACAGGTCACAGGTACACACCATGTTCAGTTTAAAGGGGAACTGTTCTTCATTACAAACACAATGTCTAGTTTGGCTCTTATGTAATCTAAATCTCCCAATCAACAATAGCACCAGATATATTTATACATTAAACCAGGCTCAAAAATAAACAATCCTGCATAAAACAGAATTTCACTGTTTCTAGCTTCATTCCAGCAGGTGGATTGCATCAGTAATGTGTCACAGGCAGGAGTTAGATTGTAGAGTAAGTTTTTTTACATAGCGCCTTGAACAGACCAAGTCCACCCAAAGCACTTTACAAATGTTGAGAGAGAGATAGTAATGACTTGTGTCCAAAAGACCGCTGTATAAAACCACTGCATTATTGATTGACTGCGGAACCTTCCGCAGTCAACCATTGGTTTTGTATTTCTTTATTCCGTCATTTTTTTTGACACGTTTCACAGCTTTCACATTTTCAACAATTTCCACAAGTTATACATCAAAACGTTCCACATGTTTGGGAGATTATTGCTATTACTTTTGGGACTTCAGCGATTTCCGGTTTTTCCGCAATCGGACAAAAATCTGCATTGAGAATTCTGCAATGCATTTTAATAGGCCCATGCATTTTAATAGGACTTCAGCTCTTTCAGACATTTCTACAGTTTCAAGGATTCAACAGTTTCAAGGATTTCAGCAGTTTCAAGATTTCAAGAGTTTAAAGGACTTCAACAGTTTCAAGGACTTCAGCAGTTTCAAGGACTTCAGCAGTTTCAAGGACTTCAGCAGTTTCAAGGACTTCAGCAGTTTCAAGGACTTCAGTGTAATCATGCAACCTAATAGGGATTTTTCCATGTAAACCAGTATAATGCAACTTAATAGGGATTTTTCCATGTAAACCAGTATAATGCAACTTAATAGGGTTTTTTCATGTAAACCAGTATAATGCAACTTAATAGGGGTTTTTTCATGTAAACCAGTATAATGCAACTTAATAGGGGTTTTTTCCATGTAAACCAGTATAATGCAACTTAATAGGGTTTTTTCCATGTAAACCAGTATAATGCAACTTAATAGGGTTTTTTCCATGTAAACCAGTACAATGCAACTTAATAGGGATTTTTCCATGTAAACCAGTATAATGCAACTTAATAGGGATTTTTCCATGTAAACCAGTATAATGCAACTTAATGGGGATTTTTCCATGTAAACCAGTATTATGCAACTTAATAGGGTTTTTCATGTAAACCAGTATAATGCAACTTAATAGGGATTTTTACATGTAAACCAGTATAATGCAACTTAATGGGATTTTTCATGTAAACCAGTATTATGCAACTTAATAGGGGTTTTTACATGTAAACCAGTATAATGGAACTTAATAGGGTTTTTTACATGTAAACCAGTATAATGCAACTTAATAGGGATTTTTACATGTAAACCAGTATAATGCAACTTAATAGGGATTTTTCCATGTAAACCAGTATAATGCAACTTAATAGGGTTTTTTACATGTAAACCAGTATAATGCAACTTAATAGGGATTTTTCCATGTAAACCAGTATAATGCAACTTAATAGGGTTTTTTACATGTAAACCAGTATAATGCAACTTAATAGGGGTTTTTACATGTAAACCAGTATAATGGAACTTAATAGGGGTTTTTACATGAAAACCAGTATAAAGGATAACAGTTTAAAGGATATCAGGAGCTTCAAATACTTCAGGAGTTTCAAAGATGTTTAAAGTATTTTAACAGTTTCAAGGATTTCAAGGATTTTTCAGCTAAATTCCACATTAGATCTGTTCCGCAGTCAATCGCAATGGCTTCAGCCATTGCAACGGTTTCTAGTTATTATTATTATTATTATTAAAACACATGTTAAATCTCTCTAATAATACACATTTCATCTCCAAACTGCATGGTCGTGGTTCCAGGGTCGATCCCGGCCGTCACCTGCAGCTCAGACAACATCAGTCCAACCCACTCCCAACAACGCCGCACTTTTAAAACATTAATCATCTTTCTGTGTCTCTCACGTCGAGTCCTGTTCTCGCTCTTCCCCAAAAAAGCAGCGACGTCTCATAAACGAACAAAATTGCTCGCCGTTTTTTTATTGGCATCTGGTTTAGGAGAGTTGCGATTACCATTTATTGTTTTCTGTCATCTTTGGGCGAGATTGAAACCCCAGAGATATGTCAGGAAATGATGAAAGTAATAAAAGCCAAACGCCGTTATTGACCCGTCGTGATCCGCGAGTCGCTAGCACGTGTAGCCGCCGCCCCCGGACCTACCTCGGCCGTACCTCTCGCTCTCACCTTCGGAGCAGATGTACGGCCGTTAAGACACAGCTGCTCCGCATATTTTATCTTCAGAGTGGAGTTGAGCGGGTTACTAAGTGTGAGACTGGTGCGGGGGGTTGTGGGTTTGAGGGGAGTGAAAACATGGGATAAAATGGACCAGGAACTTAAAAAATGTTACACAATGTTCAATCCAAAGTCTTTTTTTTTGTGCTAAATGTTTTCGTGAAGCATGTTAAAAACTTTCAAGTGAAGCAAAGTTAATTTTAGTGACCTCTCTCAAAACTTTACAGTGTATTTTTATTTATTTTATTAAGTGTTATGTAAATTACACTGTTAATTACTGTATTTTTTTTATAATTTTTAAACATGTTTTTAGCGCTGGTCTTTGATTCGTTGAGCCGCTCTGGTCCAGCCACTCCCGTGTTTTTATTTCTTCTTCGTGTGTTCCGTTCCCACACTATAAACTATAAACTCTCAAAATGTCTGTTTTAATTATAATTGTGTTGTTATTTACTCGTTGTGTGTCTTTTTAGTTTGGGCTGAGACTGATGCAGAGGAACATGTTCATTGTGTTTTCATTTTGTGACCAGATAAAAGAACGCCTCGAAGTCTTGCCTCCGGTGTGTTCCTCTGCAACACGACACGACACGCCACGATACAACACGACACACCACAACACAACACAACACACCACAACACAACACACCTCAACACAACACACCTCAACACAACACGACATGACGCGACACAACACAACACACCTCAACACAACACACCACAACACGACACAACACACCACAACACAACACACCACAACACACCTCAACACAACACGACACACCACAACACAACACAACACACCTCAACACAACACACCTCAACACAACACACCTCAACACAACACACCACACCTCAACACAACACACCTCAACACAACACCACCACACCTCAACACAACACAACACACCACAACACAACACACCTCAACACAACTCAACACAACACACCACACCTCAACACAACACAACACACCTCAACACAACACACCACAACACAACACACCTCAACACGACACACCACAACACACCTCAACACAACACAACACACCTCAACACAACACGACACACCACAACACAACACACCTCAACACAACACAACACACCTCAACACAACACACCTCAACACAACACACCACACCTCAACACAACACACCTCAACACAACACACCACACCTCAACACAACCACAACACACCACAACACAACACACCTCAACACAACTCAACACAACACACCACACCTCAACACAACACAACACACCTCAACACAACACACCACAACACAACACACCTCAACACAACACACCACACCTCAACACAACACACCTCAACACAACACACCACACCTCAACACAACACAACACACCACAACACAACACACCTCAACACAACTCAACACAACACACCACACCTCAACACAACACAACACACCTCAACACAACACACCACAACACAACACACCTCAACACGACACACCACAACACACCTCAACACAACACAACACACCTCAACACAACACGACACACCACAACACAACACACCTCAACACAACACAACACACCTCAACACAACACGACACACCACAACACAACACACCTCAACACAACACAACACACCTCAACACAACACAACACACCTCAACACAACACACCTCAACACAACACACCACACCTCAACACAACACACCTCAACACAACACAACACATTATATAAATAAATAAATATAATATGAATAAATAAATAAATTAATTAATATGACCCACGATCCACTCGCCGCTTACAGAGCTTTTCCTTCAGTTATTCACGATTATCACGATATGTTTGGCCAAGACATTATCGCAGGATTTGAAAACCAGATCCAGTCAGACCTCTGAAGCTAAGCAGGGCAGGGTCTGGTCAGTCGTGTGATGGGAGACCTCTGGGAACACCACAGTGAGGCGGCTGTGAAATGCCAATCTGAGTAATTAGGATCAGATTAAAGGAGAATGGATTAGCGACGGACGAGAGGCTAACGTCGATAAACATGACTTAGATTTGGCATATTTTGTTCTGTAATAAACAAAGGAATCTATCACGTCAGATACAGAATTTTGTAAATATTGTATTTGGGTTTTATTGTCTGTTTTTTAGTGTTTGGTGTTATAAGGACTCTATGTGTATCTGAATAATCCAGATTAAATACTAATCCATTAATTAAATATCAGCCATTTAGGGATCCCATTGCAGGGAGCTCGATAACTGCTCGAGAAGTAATCCAGATAAATAATAACCTTTCTTTTCTCTCTGTTTCGATCGAGCTCATCGCAAACCGCAGATGCTAATTCGCTAACGCCAAACCATACAAACAGCACAACATCTCTCTTGTTTTGCTAGCTCAGTCACTGCACCGCTCACTTCATATTCCCCAAAAAGGAACAACTCCATCGTGACTGTTTCGACCCAGCGGAGGTGGAGCAAACTGGGGGGGGGGGGGGGGGGGATCGAATGAACGCACTCAAACCCAGGCTCGGGCAAGGTCATCCGTCTCATTTTGTGGAGAGGGCTGAGGCTATTACAGCGTCCCAAAGAGAAGGCTCGTGGCTGGGTCAGCGAGTGACAGCTGATGGATGTCACTTAACCTCCTCCACAGCTGGTCCGGGGTTCACGCCGCGCAGTAAATAAGCCGGAATCCAAAACTCATATCTGTCCGCGGGTCTGCACAGCGCTCAGTAACAGGCTTCCATTTGGGTTCTGCGGCGTAAATGATGGATTTCAGGTCACGCCGAGACTACAGTTCTGGATTAGGCCTTTTCCGTTAGCTTACTGTCGCCAAATACAAGGTAAACGTACACACGGATCCTTTGCACTTGGTTAGCTACTGAGTTTGTTTGGGGAGTCTTTTTCACAGATACACAAGTTTACCAACTGTTGAGAATATTGTGTTGAATGCTAAAAACTACAAAAAATTAAGCGACATCTTGGACATGTTTGAGTAAAATGTAAGAATACTTGTTTATAGAGACAATGGAGAGTTTGTATGAAAGAAAGTGCTTTAAAGATCTATCAAAGCCCTACCGTCCTCGGCCGGTCCAAGGCCAGAGATGATCCTGGACATTTGTTTACATTTGTGGACCGACGACCGATATGTTTGTTATTATTGTGTTTGATTCTCTGATCTGTTTTTGGTGAATCAGCAACTTTACTGACTCAGAGATGACAGCCGGGATGATTTAAGGCTATGCAAAAATACATTGATTTGAATCGCAGTTTGGTCTATATTCCAGGCTACGCTAGCAAACACATTAGCGTAGGCTCACTTCCTGGTTTTTGTCTTAGGGCGAGTACTTCCTGTTTCGTACCTGTCCTGTTTTTCTACTAAAATACATTGCACCTTCTGTCTTTGGGACCTCTCTGAGAGCACAGTTGGTGATTTTTAACAGCTTCTTCTGAGCCGATTGCAGTTTCTCTGTCTTTAAAACACATTTATGACGTGTTTACAACATATTCAGGAACCTTACTGATGTGCCTCATATATTTGGCTCAAATACACGCAACACTTTAACACATTTGTCCTGCATCGGATTACACTCTCTCCCTTTATTATGCCGTTATTATTATTTCCCTGTTTTGTTTCTCATATCCTGCTACTATTAGCCTCACAGAGATCAGCGATAATGCCCCGGAAAGTCCTGGAAAATGACCTCGAGAATGATGTTTGTGTTTTTTCCCGCTGTAGTTGTAATTACAGCCGGGCTAATGTATGCAAATGAGAGCCGGGGACACATTTGCGGGGCGCACTCCACTCCTCCAACATGAATTAACATCAATATTTATCTTAGTTCTATTATCCAATTCCTGCCTCATTCAGATGCTAATTGCTACAATTAGCATTAAATAAGGGCCGCGGTTCAGATGGAATGAGCTGCAGCGGCGTCACCTGTTCCCTGCGCCGCAGAGACGCAGCGGCGGCGGCGGAAGAGCAGATAAAATGACTGCTCAAAGTTCACCGCTGCGAGATTATTGGTGAGTGGATTAGTCTGCAGCAGAACAGGAATGTGGACGGGGTTGGGAAGGAGAACGGGAATGTGGACGGGGTTGGGAAGGAGAACGGGAATGTGGACGGGGTTGGGAAGGAGAACGGGAATGTGGACGGGGTTAGGAAGGAGAACGGGAATGTGGACGGGGTTGGGAAGGAGAACGGGAATGTGGACGGGGTTAGGAAGGAGAACGGGAATGTGGACGGGGTTGGGAAGGAGAACGGGAATGTGGACGGGGTTAGGAAGGAGAACGGGAATGTGGACGGGGTTAGGAAGGAGAACAGGAAGGAGAACGGGAATGTGGACGGGGTTGGGAAGGAGAACGGGAATGTGGACGGGGTTGGGAAGGAGAACGGGAATGTGGACGGGGTTGGGAAGGAGAACGGGAATGTGGACGGGGTTAGGAAGGAGAACGGGAATGTGGACGGGGTTAGGAAGGAGAACAGGAAGGAGAACGGGAATGTGGACGGGGTTGGGAAGGAGAACGGGAATGTGGACGGGGTTAGGAAGGAGAACGGGAATGTGGACGGGGTTAGGAAGGAGAACGGGAATGTGGACGGGGTTAGGAAGGAGAACAGGAAGGAGAACGGGAATGTGGACGGGGTTGGGAAGGAGCTGAGTGTAGAGTACGACTGCATCATGGGACACTATATTTTATACTTGTTCAGTGTCATTATCAAAACAAAAATGTATTGTGTTTTCCGAGACTCGCAATTTCTCTCTTGAAACTTAACAAAAATACAGTTCTTAAAATACAAGTACCAATGCTGAACATGTTTTTGAATTAATGATGTAATTGTTTTTTTTACATTGAGAGACTTTTTTTTTTAATATTTTGCATAAATGAGAATAATGTTTGACAAATGTTTTGACAGATACATGTAAGTTTCCCATTATTTATTGATTTTGATCTGTTCTATCTCCATCACAAGTCGCAGAAACTCAAATCATAATATTCTAAGCTGTGAGTGGATAAAGTTATGGTGCGGATATTTATGGGTTTCCGTCCACTTCTTTTGCAGTGTTTCTTTACTTCTGCTTTTCTGGACATTATTTGTTTTTGTATTTACTTTAGTTACATCACAAATCAATTCCAGCACATTTTTAATTCCTTTTTCAGCTGTTCTCCCAAAATGAAGTCAGAAATACATTATTTTAAACGCGTTGGTTCCAGTTTGAGGACTTTAAAACATAATCCGTTCACTTTGTTAAAGCGCCACAAGCCAAGTCTCGCACAGAACATGATTAACTTTTTTTGTAAAGTTCCTTCTGCTTCGTAAACACCTTTTCATTACAACTTGTCACAAGAGATTTCAAAATAACCCAACTCAATATGTTGCTTTTCTCATTTGTTTTAATAGAATTGCCTGGTAACACCCTTTGTAGCTCCATATAAGTAAACTTTATTGCCCCCCTTATTATTTGGTGATTGGAGCCCGTGGAACTAGATTTAAGCTGCGAGCAGGGTTCGGCCGGTACGTGATCTGTGTCGGTATACGCCGCGCTTGCTAGCTCCGCCGCGGGCTCCGTTTTATTGGAGGCGTCAGTGACAGCCGATGTCCAAGTGGAGTGCGGAGTGGATTAGATTAACTCCCCGGTGAAAGAGGCTTGTCGGCTTGCATTGTGCATTCTGTCTGGTTAAAAAGGCGCAGGTAATAAACAGGTACGCTGACATCCTCGGAGCGTGTTGGGAATACCGCCCCCTGATTGGCCGGTCCGCGGGGCATTGGAACACGGGCGGCGCTTTGACGGAGGACTGCTAAAGTCTCAGGAGCAATAAGGGCCAAATGGAGAATGATTCCTCGGGACGGGCCAAAGTAGAGGCGCACTGTCACAAGCAGTAAGTCCAGGATGGAGAGGCCATTTTGGGGCTGTCTCTGCGCCTTTGTGTTCGCGGCCCCAGACTCAGGGAATGGTTTGGTTCAGCTGCGAGGTCATGAGGAGCAGAAAGTGGTCTGGTAACTACAGCTGTCATGTGTCGTTTAGAAGCAACGACAATTACTGGGTCTATTTCTCTGCATAGCCACAAACAGTGACTTTGTTCTGCTCACAATATATGTTTTCACAAATAGATTAAAGTTGGATTTTGAGTTTGGCTTAAAAACTGTATATAATATGGATTTGATTTACAATTTCTAAATTTTTTAAAGGATTGAGACATTTACATTGTTGTGTTTGTAGTTCCAATTATGTACACACGACAAGATATGATTTTTTTGTTTGTATTGCTAAATCACGATGGGAAAGGTTCACATTTCTTGCCCCATTCGGTAAAACCATGTGGACCATGTGAACCAATGCAAGTGGATTTACTAGCACCATTTGTTGGCTAGTATGTAACTAATAATTACTCTCAATTACATTTCAACCGATTAACACGTCCTCTTAAAGGTGACCGTGGAGCGTTGTCAACAGCACTAATACAAATCCATTTAAGAACCAGATCTGAGCGTTTGGGTTCAGCCTCGGTCCGTCCATGGATCAGATCCCTCTCGGTAAGGGCCGAGGTTTCTCACTTTCTCCCACTGTGAGACCGGGTGAGAAACCTCCCTTTGCTTTGACTAATCCCCGTACGACTGAGAGCTTACACAAACTTTCTCCCACTGTGTTTTTGAGTCGCTCCTTGTGAGGGTTTAAGGACAGTGATGATGACCCGCGACATTTAAGGACATTTCTGAACACATTTGGACAGCGGTCATGGGGAAATTGGTTTCAACAATTATCTAAAAACAGGCAGATACAGTGAGATCACAGCATTGAAGAAAACAAGAACAAGAGAGATTGTCACAAAGCTAATTTTCAGTGCAAATATGCAGTAAAGTGCTATGTGCTGTTAAGGTGCTTCACAGCTTAACAACATGTCTTTTTGTGAGTTCTGCTGTTGTGATTCAGGCCTATACACAAATAAACTGAACAAATATATGAGCGGCACGGTGGCTGAGTGGATAGCAAGGTCCTGGGTTCGAATCCCAGTCAGAACAGGGCCTTTCTGAGTTGAGTTTGCATGTTCTCCCCGTGTCTGCTACGGTGTCCCCTGCCTCTAAAAGCATGCGCCTCCTGTACTGGCCCCGCCCCCATCTCTGTGTGGAGTGACAGATTAATGCCCAAAAATAACACTTGTAAACTACTTTGAGACTCTGGTCTGTGAAAGGCGCTATATAAATAAACATGACTTACTTATAAACTGAATGTAATCAAATCGTATATAAACCTGAAGTCCATCTGAGCAAAGTGGCCCTGAGTTTCTGCTTTAAATCCTACTGTTTCTTTGTTTTAACCCAGTGTTTTTCAACCAGTGTGCCGTGGGACATTAGTGTGCCTTGAGATGTTGTTTGGTGTGCCTTGGGAAATATTCCAATATCACATAATTGGTCAAAATAATGTGAAAAGAAAATTATGAAAGAAGATTAGAAAGACTTTTTGAGCTCATTTAATTTTCTATATATATCTACCTTGATTAGAATGACTTTGCTTTCATACTAAAAGCTGCAAAGTTTCATGTTTGTATCAGTTTCAGCCGGTGGTGTGCCATGTGAGTGTTTTCAACCAAAAAGGTGTGCCACGGCTACAAAAAGCTTGGGATACACAGTTTTAACCACATCTCCTCCGCTTGCGACGGTCATCCATTTTGTCGGCGGTGGCGGTGGCGGACATGTGTTATTGTAGACGTGAATGCCTGGCAGCGAACAGACCGCGGGCAGGTGAAATACTGCGGCGAAACTGGATCGAGCCGCGCTAACCGAGTTGTAAACTTCTATTGCCCGAGGGCCGCAGCCGCACGCCGCTCATCGAATCAGCGGCGGCACGGGCGGCGCATCCACACACTCAAACATACGGGCAGCAAAAACAGCAATGCAAACTAAATAAGCGCTGAATCCAATTTCCCCGTTCAGGAGCAATATCAATGCTTTTGCAAGTTTTTTAAAGAAGGGAATAGAAAGTTTACAAAGTGGAGCTAATCAGGTTTTTCCTTTGTGGGCGCAAACTTTTTCTCTTAAGGCGGTAATGAGTGGTAGCAGTGGCTTTAAATGGGAAATGGTGGATAAAAGAGTTCAGTGGTGAGGGCTGTGGGTTTAAGGCACGTCCGTTTGAGTGAAGTGCTTTACAACTGGGCCTTACACTGCAAAAAATATATTAAAAATTGCACAAAATTGGTTGAGCCTTAAAAGATTGTTGGCTTTGTTCCATAGACAAATATCGTTTTGTCAAATTACAATAAAAAACCCACTTGTTTAGGAAATGATGACCTCATTTTTGATCATTTTTTGCAGTTTATTTATATCTATGCACTGTTATTATTATTAGCTCCACAGTTACATTCATCAGCGATAGTGGTGGCTTAGCTTCATATGTGTCTCATTTGTATCAACAAAGTAGAAAAACAAATTGTATCTTTTGAAACATTTTCTAATAATTGTATTAAATCAGAAAAAATAAATAATCTCAATCTTGTTCAAACGTCCTTTCTTTGTTAAGAGGGTAAAAGCATGCGTAAATACTTGTTTTTATAGTGTTTGTTCTAAACTGTAAAAACATAAGCTTGTTTTGAGGTCTGTCATCTCCAATGTCCAATCTTTTCTAAAAATACTTTCTCCAACTATGACATTTCCAGAGTTTTTAAAGTTGCCACAAAGACAACCCCACATCTCTTTCCCCGAAATATTAATCCCACTAATTCCACGTCTCTTGGAACCATTTCCTGTGTCCGGTAATGAGCGCTAACCTCGCTCAAACAGGAAATATGTGGCTCGTGGCCCGGCCTTCTGCACAATCAGGAAAAGCGCTGACCTTTCCCCGGCGAGGATCTGTCATCGCCGTAAAACCAGCTCCGAGAGATCTGTCCCTTTGCACTTTTATCTGCAATAATCCTGACAGCGGCGGTTACAGCGCGGCTATTCTCATTCTGCGGGAACGACACGGAATTAAGATGGGAATTTGGAGATTTTAGACTTTATTATGCTAACGCTAGAGATTTTACACTAGCTTCTTTATTATGTTAAAGCTAGATATTTTACACTAGCTTCTTTATTATGCTAAAGCTAGAGATTTTAGACTAGCTTCTTTATTATGCTAAAGCTAGAGATTTTAGACTAGCTTCTTTATTATGCTAAAGCTAGCTATTTTAAACTTGCTCCTTTGTTATGCTAAAGCTAGAGATTTTGTACTAGCTTCTTTATTATGCTAACGTTAGATTAGCTTCTTTCTTATGCTAAAGTTTAATATCAGTGAGTTTACCATATGTTTTGATCAAATGAACCTTTACTTAATTATAAGAGTGAAAACTAATGAAAATAACTTGAAATACAGGGGAAAAACACAGCTTGTTGAAAGGCTAATGCTAACTGGTAATGCCAATGCTAACCAGCGGCCAGTTAAACAGCATGTTGCTATGGTTACAAGTACTGGCTCTACTCAGGGAGGTGAAGCTAGAACTACTCTGACATAAAGAAACAGAAAAGTCAAAGTTATGAAGACCAAAACTTGACATATGCATCACAACACTTTCATAAACTAACAGCCGTCAAATTGACTGCTAATAACAACCGATTTTAGGTTTTTGTTGGCCAGATTTCGACAGAGAGGGCAGGGGTCATGCTTTAGATGTTCATAATGTTAAATAATTTTAGATAAAAGTCCCTTGTTCCAGATAGAAATAAAACCTTTGCAATGTTTTAGTTTTCATCCATAAACTTGAAGAATCCACAGCACAGACCGACTTCTCCCACTTTCTTTCACAAATTAACATAATCACTCAATTCTCCGGGAATGGATGAAGTCGAGAATAAATCTTGCTTTTTTTCTTTTGAGGCTGGAGACTGAAGTGGCTCGGAGTCGTCTCACCGCTCGCACACAGAACTCTTTTTCGGTCGTAAATTATCTTGAGGAATGTGGAATTTATGAGGCGCAGATATCTCAGCGTCGGCCGATCATCCACCGCCGTATTTCTCTCTCCGCCAACTGCCCAAAAAACCCCATCCATAAAACGGACGCAGCGGAAGTTGAGCCTGTTCTTTTGATTCACAAAGGGACTGGCCTCCTGCTGGGACTCTGAGGAGCACAGGGACTGGCCTCCTGCTGGGACTCTGAGGAGCACAGGGACTGGCCTCCTGCTGGGACTCTGAGGAGCACAGGGACTGGCCTCCTGCTGGGACTCTGAGGAGCACAGGGACTGGCCTCCTGCTGGGACTGTGAGGAGCACAGGGACTGGCCTCCTGCTGGGACTCTGAGGAGCACAGGGACTGGCCTCCTGCTGGGACTCTGAGGAGCACAGGGACTGGTCTCCTGCTGGGACTCTGAGGAGCACAGGGACTGGTCTCCTGCTGGGACTCTGAGGAGCACAGGGACTGGCCTCCTGCTGGGACTCTGAGGAGCACAGGGACTGGTCTCCTGCTGGGACTCTGAGGAGCACAGGGACTGGTCTCCTGCTGGTTTGACATTTTCATTTCAAACCTTAAACTACAGCAAAAAACTTGTATAAAAAGTAAGGCCCCATTTTTTTGGCGAAAAGTCAAAAAATCAAAAAAGGATTAAAGCTGCACTAACTGACTTTATTTTTGTATTCATTACAAAAATGCTATCCATGTCCATGCAGTGCGTTGGGATAAACGTCCTTTTGAAGAATAATTATCACAGATTTG